CCCCTCCCCCCCCCCCCCCGGCCCCCACGTTACCCGGCAGGCCCTTCGAATCAGACATTCTAAGGCTGGGATTAGGCAGGGCCCCCTGACACTTCTGCAGAGCACTCAGTGCAGGGATACCCATTGCAATCCCAGCCTAATCAGACATGCACAATCACACAACCAGCCACTCCCCACGGAACGATTTAAAACACAAAACAAGTTACAATAATAATAGGAATTAAAAGTGGGCACATACATCAGCAATCACACCATACACGCCTCATTCATAAAATTGCGCTGTTGTTAAAAGATGTGCAAATTCAGATAGAGTTTGTGGGTAGGTTCGCCAAGAGTTCATAATGTTTAAACATACTTTTATATTTAGTATCCATTTTCAAGATAAAAACCTTTGCCACTGTTGCTCTACGAGAATCCTGTAAGGAAATCTTTGCTGAAGACCGGATTTATGGATAAGAAGGTTTAGAATCTAGGCAGGTTTTGTGCATCTAAATCTAAACAGTCTAGTACAGGGGTGTCAAACCTGATTTCATTGAGGGCCACATCAGGGTTGTGTTTGACCTTGCGGGGGGGCAGGATAGGTGTGGCCAGGATGGGTGTGGCCAGCTTGATGTCACTCGTGTCAGTGGCACCCATGGTGGCCCGAGTACTCTGCCAGTGAAAACGGGCTCCCAATCTCCATTTTTGGCTGGGATGCAGAGGGTTGCAGGAGGCCATCCCAGCCCAAAATGGAGACTGAGAGCCCATTTTCGCTGGCACAGGCACCACGGGCCGGTCCTTCGCTGTTTTCAGGGCAGCCCTGTGGGCCAGATCTAAGTACTCTGTGGGCCGAATCCGGTCCATGGGTCTTGAGTTTGACATGTCTGGTCTAGTATATAATAGTGTCTGTAATCCCAGAGTCTTTAAGTGATACTTGATTCGAACAGGTTTTGCTTTCTTGAAGAAGAGCCCAGAATTTTGCTTTCGTTGCATGGCAGATAATGAGATGAAATGAACAATATATCGCCTATAGTTGGACATTATTATGTCAGACGGTCAAGGGGATGAATTGGTTCCCAGAGCTGGGAAATGGGTCTTCTGGATGATGACTTGTAGCTTACTCACACAAAATTTCACTGAAGAAGAATGAAGGAAATGGGAAAGGGTAGCAAAAGATGATTGGAAACTCTTATAGAGTTCAGTCAGTTTGGTTCTGTGAGGAGAAATTTGTGCCTGAGATCAAAGATGACCCTTTCTCCATTCCTCCCTCCCCCTCTTTTGCTTTCCAGCTTCCAGACAAATCTTCATGATATGACCTATTCTTTGCCCTTTGAAGGCTGTGGCAATGAGCTCAGCCAGAATGACCTTTCCCAGCCTCTGAAACTTTCTCACAGGGAAGCAGAAATCAACCCAAGGGACCATCTTAGCCCCAGCGTAGCAACTTTCATGGTCCAAAATCAGAAACAATCACTCAACAGCTCACTTATTAGCAGGAGAGCACTAGGGGTCAACAGTGATGTAAGACTCCTGGGGCTTCCTTCCTCCTCCTCCTCAAACCCCACCTCCCCCTTTTGCCTCATTCTTTTAAGCTGCTCAAGAACTCGCAGTTCCATTATTTACTTTCCACATACTTATATATGCTCAGGGACAGGCAGGATCCTTTGTAAAATGGTGCGACCTAACTGGGGATTCATGGCTTTCAAGCGAAGAACTGCAACAATACTGCAGGGATCAAGGGAAGCATCTAAAAACTGTAGAAGGGAACTCACATCATGCAACAGCTGTGTTATTCAGCAACAGGAACATATTAGGAGCAAACATAGTAGTGGTAACAGTCCAAATTGTTCATAGCATATCATTGACTGCTCATCCCTCCAATTTCTTGCTAGAGGAGATGTTGCAAAGTACTTATAGAACAGCTGGTCTTGCTGTGTGCAGGCACAATGGAGGCAGAGAGAAATAAGGGGTTTGGAGTTCAGATAGCCTTTCAAAAAGGCCTCACTCTATATATGACCTGAAGAAGAACCACAAAGGGCAAAAATTAGTTGAGGAAAACAAAAAAAGGAAAAGCTAAAAGTAGAGGTGTTTTTAGCCTAGGTCAGCGATGTCGAACCTTTTTTGG